AGTCACCCAAGCTAATAAGGGGTGGCTGGAATTCTTACCCAGCCGGCTAGCTCTGGAGCCCTCACACTTAACCACAGCACTATACTGCATGATAAGTCGTATACATGAGTAAATGCTCTGCTTCTCTAGATACTGTATGTACATTTCAGCAGGGGCTTTCTGGAGCTAGTGCTGTAGGAGAAGGAATCCACTGCTGGGATTTCTTCCTCCACAGGCTGGAGGGAGAAGCCTTTGGGCACATGAGGGGCTGTGGGGCCCAGCAAATCACAGTTACTACATCAAACCACGTGGGCTGTGAGCTCTCACACATTGGATGCATCTGGGGAGCTTAGAAAACACTGCCTGGTTCCCACCCCCAGAGACTGATGTAATGGGCCTGAGGGGTTGCCTGGCATGGAAAGCTGGAAGAACTCCCCTTGTGCCCTGTTGACATGGGCGGCCGCTCCCTCCAACTGTGGGTCTGAGAACTGCCTCTGCACTGGCCCTGCAGAGATGGAAGAAACGGGGGCAGGAGAACAGCTCTCCGTACTAACGCATTTCAGTTCATGAAGACATCTGGTTTTCCCAGCTAACACACAGGGCTCTTTTCAAAAGAGGAACCCCAAGATTTTCCTTGAGAATTATGTCAGACGTGTTATTTTGTTTACTTTGATAGGATGGAATTAAGCATTGTTAAAACAGGGCAGTGACAAATGGCATGGTACTATAATTGGGTTATGTTACAGCTGCTGCCTCCAGGAAAGCTGCCACAGTTGAGGTTTGTTTGAAGGAATTCCTTGAAGGTGAGAAAACCAGGAGGCCGCCAAGAATCTTGGTTCTAGAGCCTTCCTATCTGGCTCATAGAAATGATGGCATTCTCTTAATTAAAAGAATATATTTTATCTTACCGCTTTCCCAGAGACTTATTAACAGTGAGAAGCCATGCTGGGAGAGCGTGTGCAGGATGCCACGTGCCTTGTCTGCAACCAAAACAGTTTTTAAAAAAATTGAGGTGAAATTCACATAAAATAAAATGAACCAAAGTGACCAGTTCAGTGGCATTTAATACAGCGTTGTGTAACCACCACCTCTATCAAGTTGCAAGACGTTTTCATTGCCCTGAAGGAACCCCTTCCCCGCCAGCCCTTTCCATCTTCACCGCTCACATCACATCTGCCTTAGGCCTTTGCTGGCTACTGTGGTGCTGTCTCCCGCCTCTTCGTCTGTTCTCTTGGCTGCTTACTTTGCACTGACCGTGTCCCACCTTGTACTGGGTTACAGACTCAGTGTGTCTTCCTTGGCTGGGTGGGTCTGTGGAGGAAAGGGCCGGTGGGGGGTTGTTTGCAAAGGCAACACGTAAAGCAAAATTTGATTGTGGTTAAAATTGCCCTTGGAAACCCTATAAATCGCTCATCAAATGTGGTATGCATGACGATGGGTGAACAGCTCCGCTCAGTATTTCATGGGCACATGGAGCTGAGAATCCATGAGGTAGGATGAAGGTGGGGAGACAGGAAGCTGAGGGGACCCGCCTGCAGATGTCACCCATTGGCATGGTTACAACACAGGGTTTGATTTATTCTGGATTAACAATGAACTACTAGAATCTCAGTCATGCCCACGTGGTTTTATTGTGGAGTTAGAGGAAACATGACAGAGGACACATATTAGGTGCTCATGTGTTTACTAGATTTGAGTCTAAAGGTTGCTTGATCAGGTCTGTAATGTACATCGTCCTTTAGAAAATCAGAGGAGAATTTGGCCAGCTACTTCTTTTCTCTAAGTTGGCATCCACTATTGTGGCTCACCCTTCTCTTGTCTTGCCTGACCCCCACTGAGGAGCTTTTATTGCTGTCCTTAGGAAATGGTCCCATCACCCCCGAAAGTATATTTTTATGTGAATTATATACCCAACTAGATTAAATGTCCCTTAGGGTTGGGGATAGATCTCCATGTTTGTACTGGATTACACAGTGCTTATCACAGTGTTTAATCTATAAACCAGGTGCCCCATAAACGCACACTCTCTCTCTCCTGACTCCTGTCTCAGCGAACATTTATTGAGCATCTACCACATGCCAGGGAGACAAAGATGCCCAATAGTGTATCTGAAAGATCCTCAAGTAGTGAGATGAAACTGACATGAGAGAGACAACTGCAAAACCATGAAGAATTAACCACAGGAGAATTCACTGTGGCCCCTCAGGGCTGGGAAGGGCTAAATCTAGGGCACAGGGAAGGAAAGGGTTCAGTGAGGTGACAGTGCTGGCACTTAGACTGCCCACAGGGACAAGTGAGGTAATGGCATGTACAAAGGTGGTGGGCAGGACACCTGTTCTTTCAAAGGCCAAATTGTAAATCTTTTAGGCTTTCTGACCAGAGGGTCAATGTCCCAAGTACACAGCTCTGTCACTGAAGGGTGGAGGAAGCCATAGACAGTACATAAATGCAGTGTGCGGTTGTGTTCCAATAAAACTTTACGGACACCAACATTTGACTTTCAGACAATTTTCACGTGTTATCATATGACTATTCTTTTGAAACATTTTAAACCGTTTAAAAATTAAAAGACCATTCTTAGCTCCTGGGCTGTGCAGAAATGGGTGGCACAGTGGCGCTGGCCCCGGGCCGTGGCTTGCCCACCTGTGTGCGAGGGCCGGGAAGTGTGAGATCACACAGAACAGCAGTATCTCAGGTGTGCACATTCTGATTCAGTCGCTGGCGGAGGCTGAGATGCCGCGTTTCTTACCAGCCCTCAGGTAACGGTGAGGCTGAGGTCCTTACTTGTTGAAGCAAAGAGCTAAAGTATCATCAGGGTCCCCTTATGCCCCTCATGCTGTGATGAGCTTTGTGGGTATGGGAAAATATAGAAGATGATTTTCTGCCTACCAGCTGTTTTCAGCCTATTTAAGAAGAAGAGATTTGTATAGCTAGAAAGATAACTGGACCCTCCCAGAGTGACAATTGAACAGGTAAAGCCAGGTAGTGAGAGTCCCCAGTGTTGGGTACAATTAAGTGTTCAGTGAGTGGCACACGGGGTGCAGGGTTAGGCCAGAGGGGTCCCTCGATGAGCTGGGACTGGGCTCCTTGGCTTCTAGGACGTAACACAGCTTGACAGTGTGCACACATCATCACCTCCACCCGGTTGGTGTTGGAATTTCCCCCATTCTTGCCTCTGTCACTTGTTGCTCTGTTGCCTTGAGCTGTTCCTGATGCCATTTACACTTGAGTGGAGACTTGGGTTTGAGTAAAATTTCTTGGGTATGTGTGTTGTACTCCCTCTGACTGGCCGGGACGTCCCTGGAGCATAACCCCGAGGAATGGGAACTGGAGTGAGGCTAAGGAAAGGTCCCTCATCTGAAGCTTGGGGACAGGGTCTTACAAGTCATCGCAGCTGGATGGATGCTGGGCGTGAATGACGGGTGGAGGAGGTGAGTCAGAACCCCTGAGGGGAGAAGAAATGTTGACAGTTGAGGACAGAAAACACTCAAAGTTCTCCCTGGAGATAACCTCAGAACATTCTTAACATCTTCCTCAAAAGCTCTCAGATACTGTAAAGCTCTCTAACACCTTCCTATAAAGCCACAGTAATGTCTTGCTGTGAGGCAGGCTGAGGCAGAGAGAAGACCATGTGAAAGTGATTCTTTAGAAAGCCCAAAACAAATGACGCTGGCTTTGTATCCTGAGCAGGGGTGCCAGGGAGGCAAATTGGTGGTTGTTTGCTTTCTGGTAATTAGTGTTTTGAGTCCTTTGCCTCATGACTTTCACTGCTCAGTACTGAGTTAGAGACAAGTGTAGCAGAGGCCAGGGCCTTGCTTTTACAAAAGGTCACTGACCATCTTGAGGAAAACACCGTAAAAAGCAGGACCAAAATAAAGCTTGTGTGCAAGCAGCTGGCTGCCTGGAGCTGCCACCCCAGGAAGGAGGTAGGTTATGCCAATCCCAGCACCCATTCTTGCTGGCCCTTTGGTCAGAAGAGCCATTAGTTTCAGGTTTGCTAAGACTGTGCAGTGGCCATGAAACCATTTGTATGGGTCTGCATGTGCACACAGACAGCTCCTAAAGCAAACAGGCCCTGTGGACATGGCATCCCTATGAAACAAAACTTCAAACACTTGTCTGACAGACATACGGAATTAAGTGATGCCAGGCATGGCAGCCACTAGACCCAGCTGCTGCCGTTCAGTGCTGCAGACCTGTGGTTCTCCATGGCTGCATGTTACACTCACCTTGGGAGCTTTTATGTCACCTCAGGTTCTGACTGAGCTGGTCTGGGGTGGAGCCCAGACTTGAGTTTTCAAAGCTCCGAGGTGATTCTAATGTGCACTCAGGGCTGAGGACCCCTGGTCACACTGAGAGTATATTGCCGTTTACCCAGGGCTGGGCTCCCCCATCAGGACTGGCTGGCTTAATGACCTTGCAAATCTACATAGTTACTAGGGGAGGCTGAATGTGATTTTGGGATATGTTTGTGACTTAAAAGAATGCACAGATAAATTGAGGTTGCCAACAATTCAGGAATATGTAAATACACTTTCGATTTGCTGACCACTTTTTTTCACTTCTGCAGGAAAATGGCTTTGTCCTTGAAAGCAGAGTATCAGGACAGAGTTTCCCAGCCTTTGCAGATTTGCTCTGCTGTTTTGTTGGGTTTTGCATGTGGTGTTTGGTTGTTTGCAGCACACTAGACGCTCTCTCTGACATCACTATTTTGTACCGCCTTGGAGATGATGGCGCAAAACTCTGGATAAAACCAAATGCAGGTTCAGCATTCTGGTAGAATTCTAATTTCACTGATCTGTGATGTTCTCTTAGGATCTAGAGGATGTCCTCTGTTACCAATCCTGTGAGGTGTTGATCTGTCATCACGGTATTGGATCACTTTGTCTTGAAGGCGAGAAGGGAGGCGAATGTGTCCAGATGTCTTCAGCAGTTCTCTTGAGGGCCCCTCACAGCCGCACATATTTAGAAACCCGAAAGCTTCATTTTGCATCTAAGTTTCTTCTGTTTTAATTTTTCAGTACACAAGGGTCTGGATCCCTGACCCTGATGACGTGTGGCGCTCGGCTGAGTTAACCAAGGACTACAAGGAGGGAGACAAGAGCCTCCAGCTGAGACTGGAAGATGGAACTGTAAGTGCGGGCTGGGGGGTGGGGCGGGACTGGACGGTACACTGTGGGCTTGGGTTTTTCCTGCAGATTGGAGCTTCTGAGTCCCTGGCTTCTTTTTCATTGTTCTTGATGGCAATATATGTGAAAGTGTTAAACCATGAAACTGCTCCATGGATGTCACATAAGTGCCCGTTGGTATTAGCAGCTGGGAGGTCACCCATGGCTGAGGCCAGAATCTCCTCAGTGGAATGAGGGAACCTGCTGTTCCCCCCCTCATGAGGTTGAAGAATCAATGGGAGGTGAGGGTAGGGAGCTGCTATGGGAACAGTGCATGGTACTGTGGCAGGAGCACGGGCTCCGGACCCAGCCTGCCTGGGCTGGGATCCTGGCTCCGCCATTGCTAGCTGTGTGCCCTTGCACAGGTCAGCAGTCCTTCTGTGCCTGTACTTCATCTCTGACATGGGGGTGGTCGTATGCCTAGGATGCTTTTGAGAATAAAATGAGTCACTCTGCGACATGTACTTAGAGTACAGCGTGGCACATGGGCACTCAGTATGTGTTAGGGGCTAAGAATTCTTTTTTATTAGTGAATTTTTTTATTAGTGGACTTTCAGATGGTTTTGTTGGGAAGGAGGACAATGAAATCCTGTTATTCCTAGGCCTGACTCAGTTTCTCTTTTCATGAGCCTTCGTGACCACCTCTGATTTGTGCATTTCACAGATACTTGAATGCTTGCTCTGTGCTGGGTCAGAGGGGTGTATGGGTTCCCTGCCATTTGGGGGAGCAGCTCTGTGCTGGAGGGAGCAGTGAACACAAACCTGGAAGTACAGCAAAGTTGGAGTAGTCACAGAAGCAAGTGCACGAGGTATGGGAGGGAATCTGCTGAGGTGAGGGTGTTGAGGAAGCAGAGGGATGTGGGAAGAAGCCAGACATTGAAGAGTCAGGGTGCGGTGGGCTGAGAGTAGTGTCCCAGGCAGGTGATGTGTGTGCCAAAGCCTGAGGCCTCGGTGTGTCCCATTTGGGTGTGTGGAAGGAAAGGAAGGGAGGCCAGGGCACCTGGTGGGAGTTACTGGAGAAGGTACAGATGATGGGCTAAGAATGCAGGCAGGTCATTGTGCATGGCCGACAGAACCTGGGAGAGAAGCAAGTTCTAAACGAAGTGGCAGGAAAACGTCAAGAACTGGCTTTGGGATGGGTTACGTTTAAGGGGCTGCAGAGCAGGCAGTGCTTGGAGGGAAGGCTGGACTGAGTATTGCCTCTCTCTCAACTGCAATAGCACTAAAAGTTGTATCACATCATTTAGCCTTTGGTCATTTACTGTCTTACCATTTTCCCTCCTTTCAGGCATTGTGGTCCTATCTTTCTAGATAGTTAATGACCTGCTTGAGAAACGGACCTCGTCTTAATGCTTTGCTCACATAGTACTTACTGTGGGTGGTGATTATCTCATTCATTAGTGGGAAGATTGCCCATCTTCTCCCCACTAAGTCCTGTGTTTTATCAGCTTGAGGGTATCACTTGGTAAAACTGGAATGGTGAATTGGTTAGATAGTTATACCAAGGTGTGCATGCCTCACCTTCCCCTTCCTGGCAGGCCGACAGCTAGCCTGCTCTTGGTTTTGAAGTGAGAAACAAAATTCCCAACAGATGGAATCATGTTTAGCATGTTGAATAACTTCCCACCCCACGCCCGAAACAAAATGAAATTAGTTCACCCACTCGAATGGTGTATCTTCTCCAACAGATTCCATTTCAGTTGATCTTTTAAGGGGGTGGGTGTTTTCAAAGAATTGCACGGAGGCTGTGAGGAATGATGTGCTGTGTTGCTACAACAGAGCAGATGCTCGCCTCCCTAGCTGAAAATGAATGCTACCCTGCGTGACTAATCCTGGCAGCTGCCCAGAACCCCTGTCTTCCCTCCCTCCCCTGCCTGCTGCATAGCTGACCAGAGTGTAATCAGAAGGGATGCTTCAGGCTGGACCTCAGCAGCTCTCAGAAGTAATGGGCTCTGCACATCTGAGTCTGTCCAGGTTGCTCATGGGCTGTGGTTTGTCCACTGCTGGCTCTGAGCTGTCACTGGGAGTAACTTAGTTGAGCTGGGGACCAGAGGCAGGAGCACAGAAGTTAGATGGCTGAACGTAATGCTTGAAGAGAGTCCCCTCAGTAGCTGAAGCCATCCTCGGTATACCAGGCTGGCTGGAAAATCGACCCCAGTAGTCCCTTTCCCCCACCCCTCTGCACCTCCCTCTAAAGTCCAATAGTATAGGTCACTGACGCAGCAAAGGATGAAAATAAATTCTCTTCTAGAACAACAATAATGTTCCTAGCCCCCGGCTTCTAACTGCTGACCCGTGTGCCCTGTTCAAGATGGCCAAGCTCCTCAGTAGTCCTCTAAGATGTTTCTTTTTTCCCTGTGGCTTGCTTGCTTATTTATTTTTGTGGTAAAACATAAAATTGACCACATTAACCATTTTTTCAGTGCACATTTCAGTGGCATAATGTACAGTAGTACCCCCTTATCTGTGGTTTCATTTTCCAGGGTTTCAGTTACTTATGGTCAACTGTGGTCTGAAAATATTACATGGAAAATTGCACAAGTAAACAGTTCATAAGTTTTAAATTGCACACTGTTCTAAGTAGCTTGATGAAATCTCGCGCCATCTTGCTCCATCCCACGTGGGATGTCAATCATTCCTTCGTCCAGTGTATCCATGTCATATAGGGTACCTACCTGTTAGTCACTTAGCAGCCGTCTTGGTTATCAGAGAGAGAGAGAGAGAGAAAGAGAGAGAGAGAGAGAGAGAGAGAGAGAGAGAGAGAGAGAGAGAGAGAGAGACCGAGTCCACAGTAACATAACTTTTATTACAGTATATTGTTATAATAGTTCTGTTATTAGTTATTAATCTCTTGCTGTGTCTAACTTACAAATTAAATGTCATCATAGGTATGTTTGAATAGGATAAAAAACATAGTATAGATAGGGCTCAGTACTTCCCGTGATTTCAGGCATCCACTAGGAGGGAACTACTGTACCTCCACATTGTTGTCGAATCATTACCACCATCCATCTCCAGAACTCTCTTTATCTTGCGAAACTGAACCTCTGTACCCATTGACAACGACTCCCCATTTCTCCTTCATCTGCAGCCCCTGGTAGCCTCTCTTCTACCTTCTGTCTCTGAGTTTGATTACTCTAGGTACCTCTTAGAAGTGGAATCATACAATATTTGTCTTTTTGTGTCTGGCTTGTTTCTCTTAGCACAATGTAAGATGTTTTCTATATAAACCAATGAGAAGATGGGAAGAAGAGGGGAGAAGGGTAGTGAGCTGTTTTTTATTCCCTCCCCACAGCTGTGATGGGTGCAAGGTGTGCCAACCCGTAGCACCCCACGCTGTTTTTGAACTGGATCAAGCCCCTGAGCCTGTGCATACCTTGGTGATAAATGTAGCTTCTTCATTGGCTGGGAGTGCAGCTCTGCCTGGCTGACCTGCCCTCTCCCACCCCACCTCCCTTACACACTGCTTACTCCTGCCCTCTAGTGGCAGGGAACACTCTCCCCCAGTTTCCATGGTTTTGCCTTTAAATTATGTATCCATTGTCCTGCAGCCGCCTTGATGGCGAGTACTCCCTGTGTGCAAGACCCTGACTTAGTGTTCACGAGTGAGAGGAAGACGGGTATGCATGAGCTTCAAAAGGGGGAACGTGCTGTACCCGTGTCTCAGCATTTCCAAGCCCTCTAACATTCACTGTGTTCACCATTTTTAAGTGTCCAGGTCAGTGGGATTACATACTTTCACATTGTTGTGCAGCCATCACCACCATGCATCTCCAGATGGATGTCTGTCTGCTTAATGCCATCAACCTGTTCCTCTCCTGTATTCATGATGTTTTCCATCAATTAGGATATTTCTTCTGGCTGCTTCTCCTTAGAGATGCAAAGTAGTGATTTTGCCCCACAGCAGGGACCTTTGGCAATGTCTGGAGTCATTTTTGGGTGTCATGACTGAGGAGGGAGGTTTGCTACTGGTATCTAGTGAGTCGAGGGCAGGGATGCTGGATAGCACCCTATCATGCACAGAGCAGCTCAAGGACGACTTAGCCAGTCCTAAATGAAAACAGTGCCAAGGTTGAGAAGCCTGGGTTTAAGCCCATAGGGGGAATGGTCTGGACTGTTTATTGCTGATAAACAGCAAGTTTAAAGCTAAACTGGCACTCCATGATTTTAACAGAACGTGGAAGCCGTGTTCCCTGTAATAAATTAAACCGCAAGAAAGATTAACTTTGACTTTATGTTTTATGCTGCTATAATGTTTATAATTCAGACTTTTTCATTTTATGGTTTAATTTATGACCTTTTTCTTGAATTGCTTGCATCACCATTCATTATTCATTCATTAAAACAATTGTTGAGCAATTATTATGTGTCAGGGTCTGGTTGTACAGCAGTGAAAATGGCACATCTGCACCTTTGTGGAGCCTTCAGTCTAACTTATAATGAATATCATATATATGCCAATATAGAGTTTAGAGTATGAAAAGTTCAAGGCCAAGAAGCTTTAGATTAGAAACATGGTGAGATACTTGACTCTCCGCACTGCACCTTCTCTCTTTACTCCTCAATCCCACACTTTTTTTGAAACCCCCTTGAGCAGCTCCCTCTGAGTTTCTTGCTGACCTCCCAAAGCAGGAACACTTATCATGGCGCAGGTGGTATCTTAATACTCCACCATGGTCCTCAGCCCCCTTGCAGTTAGATGGGACCCCATGATGACTTTTGTCCAGAGCTCTAAGTAGAGTTAAATGATATCACTTCCAGGCAGAAGCATCAAAGAACTGATGGGAGGTGATCATTCTCTTCCACTGCCTGGCGATTGCAGCCAGTGTGCTAGTGTTGGCACGACCTGGGGAGCAGAGCTTCCGTATCAACCAGGCTTGGGCACCTAGCATGAGCGAGAGAGAAGCCTTTGTGGTCATAAGCCACGGAGGTTTCAGGGTTAAGTTTTTTACTTCCTCCTAATGAAGAAGTTTGCATGAAACACAAAATATTTTATTTTTCAGGTAATTAAGTGCCTGCTCTGCGTTGAGGCCTGTGCACGGAGCAGGAGGGTAAGAGTAAGGAGGTTCATTTTAGGAAACATGATCTTTTGGGAGGACTGGAGAACACAGAACTATTACAGAATAAGACACAGCAGAACACTTAGTCAATAAATACTTGTGCTTTTAAAAACTGGTTTAGGGCACAATGTAAAACAGTCTTTTAATACTTAGTAAATAAACCTGTAGCCACACACTTTCTCCTACAGTGAGAGTAAGTGGTTTCCAGCTTTGGGGCCTCCTGTTATCTGGGAATATATTGTATATAGTTCCCTTCACTTTGTTTTCTCTGCAGGACAGCTTTTCTGATTTCACAAAAGACAACACCCCTCCATCCACTGACCTAATTGAAATGCTTTAGGCCGATGAAGTTGGAAGGGCCCTGGAGGATTGTTGGGACCATCCCTCTCATCCTGCAATTAGGGAAACCACGCAGTCGAAGGAAGTAAAGTGATGAGCTCAAGGCCTCAGAGCAGCTGAGTTCAGTGGTTCTCACCTTTGGCTGCACGTTAGAAACCCATGGCCAGTTTAAAAACCAAAACCAAACCACAAAGTGTTTGAAGTGGCAACCAGACTACTTAAATCCGAATTTTGGGATGGGAGACAGCGGAGTATCTTTTCAGAAAGCCCCCCATGAGATTCCAGCGTACAGGAAGAGTTGAGAGCCGCTGCTTGAGTTGATGGTCAGGACTTGAGTTGGGGGCCATTTCCGGCAGTGGAGGATATATGTCACTCCTCAGGGTCCCCTTGCCAGCCAATATGGTAACCACAGTTTTACTAACTTTTCTTTACATCTTCTGGTTCTGTGGGTAGATAGAGTAGGAGAAAGCTGGCTGGCTTTCTTTCTCTACCACATCTGCTTATTATTAGCTTCAAATCTTTGTGTTTGGAGTTGTCATTCAAAGATGTTTCTCTGTTTATGTTTTCTTGCTGTAGAACCATGTGACATGGACACACAACGAAGGGAGAGGTCATGAATAAATTAGACATTCCATTCCGCTAATATTTTTGAGCACCTGCTCAGTACCATAGAATCACAGACACACAGATTTTAGGGCAACCTAGAGCAGCGCTGTCCCAGCGAACATAGCCCCGCAATGGAGTGTTCTCTACCTGTATTGTCCAGGAGGCTGGTCTCTAACCACATGTGGCTACTGGGCCCTTGACATGTGGCTGGTGTCACTGAGAAACTGGTCTTAATTGGATTTAACTTGAATGAATTTAACAGGTGCTGCCCTGTTGGAGGGCGCAGGTATGGACCAACAAGCCCCTATCCTAGTCCTCCCTTTATATCCTGAAGTGCTGTCTAGCCCTGTATGCTAGCTGGGGACCAGTTGGAGACCCCCTTCTGTTCCTGGTCTCACGGGGGAGGCCAAGGTCGGTTCCAGGTGGGTGACCGAGCATCAATTCTGTGGTGAGTGTTAACATTCAACCTTTTTTTCACCTCCAAAGGCCCAGATATCATGTAGTGAAGTTTTTTTTGTGTGCCAGAAGGTTCATGGTAGTTCATGGTCCCTGATCATAAACACTTAGATTTCAAATAAATGCTTTTGATGTTAGCAGCAGTGTTAGAATCAAATTCCTGTTAAACAGGGTGGGGGGGGGTGTAAAAACCCTGTTCCTGTCTCTTGTTCCCGCCTTCCCTCTGGATACACACACCCCAGGGAATTGGTAGCTCTCAGTGCTGAGTTTGCAGCTCTGCCCCTTTTCTGCTGCTCTGGGCATTTTTACTCCTTATCAGTTTTCCAGTAACCACTGCCGCTAGCTTATTTATGGGCCACGTTTGCACAGAATTGCATATACGTTCCCTCTGCATGCTTGGGGGAGAGTCTTTCCAGAGGAGGTTCACCTGAGAAAAGATAGGATGCCAGCATGTCTGCTTCGGGGTTTAAAGACACTGGGCCCAGATCCTGGCTTTCGAATCTGAAAACTGAGGGGGGTTGCCTAGGCGGGCTCTGCAGTTTGCAATTGGCTGTCCCCTGTGCTGCTTACAAGGTGGGGTGGAGAGCCCTGTGGGAGATGCAGAGCAGGCATGCTCCTTCCTTCCGGGGGAGGGACTTCTCTGCTGGGAAGTCTTCAGAATGGCCCCGGGAGGGAGGTCTAGTTCAAGTCCCAGCGATACCACTAACTTCGCAGAAGGTAAAGAGGCCATCCACTCCAGAATTTAATGAAATAAAAATCAACTCTCAACACTCCGTTTCCCTTTGTTTCCCACCTTTTGGGAATTTTGCCTACGTCATGTTCATAGTAGTTGTTTCCTGACCTCTTCTATGGAGTAAGTTTGATATAAATAAAAGAGCTTTTCACAGAAAGAAAAGCGACTTGATTAATATAAAAAAGAAAGCAACAACATCAGGAAACTGCAAAGACAAAATCCTCACTAACATAGATAACCATTGATATTTTGTGGGGCTGTTATTCCAGACAGACTTTCATATACAGTTTTAAATCAATGGAATCCTATAATATATTTTACTCCGTAACATGCCTTTTCTTAGAGTCTACAGAATGCGGTGGGTGGCTGCCTGACTGTAAATAAAGGCCTGTGTCATGTTTCACTTCCATATTTTTAGCTTTGGTGAGTCGATATCTTCGCTAGTCCATAAGACTGTCTCCTGAGGCCCAGGAGTAGCATATCCATGAACAGTTCTGACTAGGTGTTGCCAGCTGCCCTCCAGAGAGGGTAAATCAGCCTGAACCCGCAGCAGTGGACTTGTCTGCACATACCCATCCTGGTTAGGGTCTTGTCAGTTTTTATCCCTTGGCTTATCTGATGGAGAATATTAGTGCTGATAACCTTTATTTGCATTGTTTTGTTTAATGGTCAAGTTGAATTGTTTTTTATATATTGTTCATTTGTAGTTCTTATTTTGTGACTTGTATTCTATGCGCAATTTTTTCTTGGGGTGTTGTCTCTTTGATGTCTTAAAACTTTTGGGATATTAAGATTGTTAATTCTGTCATGTAATGCAGGGTTACTGTCCCCTTCTCCCATTTTACTCTGCATGTGGTGTGTTTTATGATGGTTTTAATGTTCTATATTTTAGTCAAATTAAGGAATATTTTCCAACATTGTTCTGGCTTTTGCATCATCCTTTAAAGGTAATTCTGCCCAAAACTTTTACAAATATTTGCCCACATTTTCTTAATGGTATTGTTTTTCTTTTTGGTTTTAATTTTCAAGTTCGTTCCATCTAAAATTTGTTTTGGTACAAGGAGTGAGAATAGAACACTAGCCTAAAATTTTTAATAAATGGCTGCTGGTTTATTTACCACTATTATTTTTAAAATCCCCTTTAACCATTTATTTGCAATTTTAATGTTATGAACAAATTTTCTATATGTGCCTGCATTTATTTCTGGATCTGCTATTCTAGCACTATTACCATAGTACTTTAATTGCTGGCTTTAATAATATACCTGCAGATCCGGTAGTACAAGTTCCTCTAAGAGTAGGCTGGTAGGGCATGTTGATATTTATAGTGCCTTAAAATTTGGCTGTCAGTAAATTAAGGCGATGTCCATAGAATTTCATGAAAGGCTTGTGTAGAACAGTGATTCTTAAAATAATGATCTGTAAGCTACCTGTATCAGAACTACTTGAGGATTTTTTTTTTTTTAATTCAGGCCCCTGGGCCTCCCCCAGAGCTTTGGAACCTAAGTTGTATCTGGGAAACGGTGTTTTTTACAAGCTCTCACAAGGTTCTTAAGAACACTATAAGAAACTGAACACTCATAAAACATGGTAAGCAGCAGCCAAATTCTTCCTGTTTAAATGTTTAAAAACACCACCACCATCTTTTTATTAATTATATGTGTATGTTTGTACACATGTAGTCAGTTATAAATCTGTCCTGTCAAATAAACTCATGCAGCCCAAGTGCTATGCTGAGAGTGCAAGGATAACACCTTGTATTTGAGATTTGAACTTAAGATATGTAGTCATACTCCCTGATTTTACACACACACACACACACACACACACACACACACACACACACACACTCACACACTCTCAGATGTCAAGCTTTCATTATACTTTAGGTCAAAGTAAAATTATTGCCCTAGAGTAGCTTGCAGTTAGGTTGTGGAAAATATATGCATATCTTGAGAGCACTTATGGAGGGTAATTTGTTAGTTGCAAGGTAACCCTAATAAAAAACGTGTGTGTTGGTTGATGGGAGAGAGAGTAAAGAAACACTAGCATGAAATGGGGCAAGCCAAAAGTTTCCTGGGTGAGAGAAAGAATGGTATACGTACTCCCATTGCAACTAGAATTAAAGACTCCGTATGTCTTCGTTGAGAAGCAACAGAATGCTTTATTAAGTCTAGTTGTGCTTCCTGAATTTCTTGCGTTACTCAGCCTTTTTCCCTGACACACTAGGATTATGTGATCAGCCACGTTTCCACCTGGGCTGGGCTTTTACGGCGACACAGGTGTTATGTTCCGTTTTCCTTCCTTTAAAGCATGTTATTTATCTTCTTCACCTATGATTGTGTCAGGATAGTCATCCTAGCCAACCAGATAGGGATTGAATACAGGCTAAATGTCTCATGACTGCCTTTTTGTGTCTGTTACTTGCATCTAGATTCGGGAATACCCCATTGATGTCCAAAGTAACCAGCTGCCCTTCTTGCGGAACCCAGATATCTTGGTGGGAGAAAATGACCTAACGGCCCTTAGCTATCTCCACGAGCCTGCAGTTTTGCATAATTTAAAGGTCCGTTTCCTGGAGTCCAATCATATCTACACTTACTGTGGTAAGTGGGGGGCATCTGTTGGCTGCATGCGTTTGAAAGTGCTTGTTACGGTCTTCAGATTTGACATGTTAAACTCCAGTGGTTAAGCATCTTAACTTTCACTCTCATTTACAAGTACCTCTCATCTGAGACCCTTGAAAAGTTTGCATGATTGCGAACGTGGCTTCATTAGGCTGCCCTACATCTCTGTGGGATGATTGGTGTTAATCACAGCTTAGCCAGGGAAGAAGTGGGCCACACTGTGTGTGTGGCCTTACTGGCTTAGGCACAATCCTGGAGTCCTAGGAGCTTGGTGTCCTTGCTCGGGCATCTGCTGTCACCACCGAGCCAGCTCCTGTTCGCGTAAACCTGGCTGATTTTAGTCCTCTGCTTGAGAAAGGGCTGCCTTTTTCTCTGACTCCCCCTCACTTGCCCATGGACAAGCATGGCGCATGATGACCATGTGTCAAATTCATGAGCAGAAGCCATGACAGATGCTTTAAATCAGCGGTTCTCAACCTTCCTAATGCCGCGACCCCTTAATACAATTCCTCATGTTGTGGTGACCCCCAACCATAAAATTATTTTCGTTGCTACTCTATAACTGTAATTTTGCTACTGTTATGAATTGTAATGTAAGTATCTTTTTGTTTTCTGATGGTCTTAGGCGACCCCTGTGAAAGGGTCGTTCGACCCCCAAAGGGGTCTCGACCCACAGGTTGAGAACCGCTGCTTTAAATCAAAAGGTCTGAAATTCTCTCATATTTTGTTTTTTTCTTGACATTTCTCAAGTTCCCACATTCCAAATTTTGGGTTCTCTTTTTCCGAGTATTGTTAACCGTTGTTGGAGGGGCAGCATTTTAGGGTCTGCTGGTGGAGTCAGGCCAGATTTCAGGAGCTGTAAACAGCATCTTGATTTCAGCGCTTGAGAGGTAGTTTCGCAAACCTGCCTTGACCCCAACTGCTAGTGGGAGTTTTATTTGAAAGAAATCATCAGTTACCAGAGCCTTCAATAAGTTGTTTTTTTTTCCAACAAGATTTTTAAAGAATCTCCCTAAAAAAAGGAGAATGGGATAAATGACCATCAGCTTCACTTTTGAAAGGCATCCCCTCTAAGAGAGGTCCTGGTGTCTGCACATATTTATCTAAACGCGTCATCTGTTCAGAGTAGCTGACGCAGCACAGAACTCTAAGTCTTGACGAAGTACGCGTATCTTCTCTGGAGGAGGCTGAGCCATTTTAGGAAAATGTGTGACCTCTGAGTATAATATCAAAATTTGAATTGAATGCTACATGAATTAGGATTTTCTACAACTCTAATAACCAGCAGAGTATGTGAGGCTGTTTTTTAAGAGAACTCTCCAAGTCATTGGCCATATTGGGTAGACTTTATCAGAGTTCTAGGTCTTATTTCTCCGTCCAGTTGTCTTTTCAGGCAGATTGCCATCTGAAGAGTACTTGCTGGGTGTCTTTTCCCTCCCTTTGCCCTTTACTCGGAATTACCTGGTCTGGTTTATCTCCCCCTCCCCTCTTCCTCCTCCTCCCTTCCTCCTTCCATCCCTCTCCCCACCTCTCCCTCCACCCCATATTTTTTTGCTTAAATTTTTATCTTTTAAAGCAATTTTAGGTTTACAGCAACACTGAGTGGAAAGTGCAGAGATTTCCCATATACCTGCTCCCCCCACACATGCACAGCCTCCCCCACTATCAGCATTCTGCTCAAGAGTGGTACGCTTCTTATCATTGATGAACCCACAAGGACATGTCATTGTCACCCAAAGTCCATAGTTTATATTAGGGTTCACTCTTGGTTGTACATTCTGTGGGTTTCAACAAATGTATAATGACATGTATCCTGTATTATGGTGTCATAGCAGTAGTTTCACTGCCCTAAAAGTCATTTGTGCTCTGCCTGTTCATCCTTCTCTCCCCATTAACCCCTGGCAACCACTGATCTTTTTACTGTCTCCATAATTTTGCCTCTTTCAGAATGTCATGTAGTTGGAATCATACAGTTTATAGCCTTTTCAGATTGGCTTCTTCCACTTAGTAATATGCATTGAAGGTTCTTCTATGTCTTTTCATCTCTTGACTGCTCATTTTCTTTTTAGTGTTGAATAATAGTCCATTGTCTGGATGGACCACAGTTTACTTATCCATTCACCTACTAACGGACATCTTAGTGGCTTCTAAGTTTTAACAACTATGAATAAAGCTGCTATAAACATCCATGTGCAGGTTTTGTATGGATATAAACTTTCAACTCCTTTGGATAAATGCCAAGGAGTGTGACTGCTTGATCATATGGCATGAGTATGTTTAGTTTTGTAAGAAACTGCCCAAGTGGCTGTGCCATTTTGCGTTCCCTCCAGCAGTGGATGAGCGTTCCTGTTGTTTCACATCCTTGTCAGCATTTGATGTTGTCAGTGTTCTGGGTTTGGGCCATTCTCGTAGGTGTGTAGTGGCATCTATTAGTGTTTGAATTTGCATTTTCCTAATGACATGTGATGAGAATCTTTTCAGATGCTCATTTGCTATTGGTATATCTTCTTTGGTGAGGTGTCTATTTAGGTCTTTTGCTCAGTTTTTAATTGGGTGGTTAATTTCCTTATTGTTGAGCTTTGAGTTCTTTGCATATTTTGGATAATAGTCCTTTATCAGATATGGTTTTTGCAAATATCTCTCTCTGTCTGTGATTTGTTTTCCCATTCTTCTGGCTGTATCTCTCTTCAAACACCAGAAGGGAACACAGTGTAAGAGGTTTCGTATCTTGGCAATGATCTTGGCAATCACCTTTTCATTCTTGTCTCCTCTTCCCCAAATGACTGGAAAAGCTCATATTATTTGAAACCCAGCCAGTGGTTTACTTGACATCTAGAATGTGCTTTTATGTGAAAGAAAAAGTCATGGATTTCTGTCTTTTTTTTTTTTTTAAAGATTTTTATTGGGGAATTGGGGGATGGGAACAGCGCTGGGAAATTGGTGGAAGGGAAACAGACAAGTTGCTGTCCTTTTGTTCTTCAGTCTAGTTGTGGCGGACGTTGCTTCACTGGCCCAAGTTGGCACCATCATTGCGCTCTTCCCGGGCGAGGCAGATCATTCACCGGCTTCTGGACGGCCGCTCTCTGCGGCTGCTGGCCGCTCATGCTGGTTGCTGGCTACACACAGTAGCCCATGGCAACCCATTGCAGCAGGGGCTGCAGCCTATGCCATCACCGGCGACTCACTGCAGCCCAGCTCCAGGTTGAGCTGTTGTTCAGCATCTTAGCTGTAGAGGGCAGTGTCACTGGCCCTCATATGTGGGAACCAAACCGGGGCCCTCTGGCGTCCCAAGCCAGCTCTTAACCAACACGCCACTTGGCTGGCCCATTTGTGTCTTATCTTGAAGATTGAATTTGTGTTTTTTCTCCTCTCATATTCTCAAATATCAACTTACCTCACTTTTCTGTAAAAGGAGATCTGAGAGGTTAGAGGATTTACCAATCCCTCAATCAGTATGTATTTATTGAATCCATTATTGCAATTCATCCTTTTGGGGACACAAGATAAAAAAAAATAGTGAAATGAAAGATAATACATGGTATAATGTAACGTGAGATAAAAAAAATATCCAGTACTCAGTGCCTATTATGTAAGGTGATGGCCCAAGTGTTCTTTATAGTAATCATTTTATCCTCAGGATAACCCAGGTAAATGCAATTATTATCCCCATTTTGCAGGCCAGGAAATGGAAGCCCTCAGAGGTTAAGTAATTTTCCTAAGTCACCCAGTTAGTCATTGGCTGAGCCAAGATTTGACCTTAAGACAGGGAGTCAATCCTCTCTGTCCACAAGTTGTTTGTATGTTAGTTAAGATTACCTGCATACAAATGAAAAATTAATAGTCCCTTTACTAGATTTTAATTCCAAGATGGCTTTTAAAACCTACCCCCTTTTGGCTGAGTGAGACATCCTCTTCTCTCTGACTCTGCAACATTTTGCATATGTGTATCTTACAGATTCAATCTGTTGAGCATGTGTGTGTGTATTTCATGCTCTAGTGTATTTGGAGGCATGGCCTGTCCTTGTTTTCTCTACCAGGGCCTAGCACACAGATATGTCTTGATTTAGTGGAGAGATTGGTTAAGACTCATTCTGTTACCTGGTCATTCTTTAGTTTTGATGCATATGAATGAACAGGGCCTTTAAAAGCTGATGGCAGATGGCCACTGTGCTGCCAGAACCTGACTGCATTGTCTGTTTGCAGGTATCGTGCTTGTTGCCATTAACCCTTATGAACAGTTGCCAATCTATGGACAAGATGTCATCTATGCCTACAGCGGCCAAAACATGGGGGATATGGACCCCCACATCTTTGCTGTGGCAGAAGAAGCCTACAAGCAGATGGCCAGGTAAGAGTCACCTCAGTAAGAAGTCTTCCTGGGGAGCCAGGGGGCAGAAACAGGAGTTTTTCTACCTTCCTTTCCTGCTTTTGCTTTAATGGTGGGAATGGTGGTTCTAGAACTGAGGAAACAAAACCAGCCCAGGTCCTGTTTCTCACCACATTTCCTCATGTCTTCATCTTTAAAAAAAAAAAAAAATTATTGGGGAACAGTGTGTTTTTCCAGGGCCCATCAGCTCCAAGTCAAGTAGTTGTTTCAATCTAGTTGTGGAGGGTGCAGCTCAATGGCCCATGTGGGGATTGAACCAGCAACCTTCATTTTCTGAGCACTGCGCTCTAACCACCTGAGCCAACCGGCCGCCCCCCTCATGTCTTCATCTTATTGTGAACCTGAGCCTAGGCTTGGAGGACAGAGGCTCCTTGAACTTATTTCTTTGTTTGGGTAATGCAATAAACGCTTAGCATTTCATCTCCCTTTGACTTCCTTTTGGCCCTGTCTCCTCCCCTCCTGGTGTAATGAATCTTTTTTATAGCATCGCCATTCGTTTTCCAGAGCTCTCTGAAGGCTTCCTTTTCAAGGAATCAGGACTCTGACAACTTCTTGAGATGCCAAGCATTTGGGGCTGAAATAGAAATTTCAAATTAATAGTCATGTATAGTGGTTTTGGGATTTTTGCCTGGAAGTGGAGTTTTGTTGAGGCAATTAAGCAGATCTCATTTTTGCTCTTTTTACCCCTAGCTTTGAAGGATAGGTACAGGTTATTTCCTCAGAAGAGGGGCTAGGTGATTGAATTAGTAAGGGTTCTCCAGGGAAACCAATATGGAGAGAGAGGGAGGGAGGGTGGGAGAGAGGAATGGGGCGGGGCAGGGGGGAGAAAGAGAGATTTTGTGGAGAGAGAGATTTTGAGGAGAGAGAGGTGGAGGATTTTTATTTTAAGAAATTGGCTCAAGGCTGGCTGGCTGGAGACCCAGGGAAGAGCTAATGTTGTATTGAAGGCAGTCTACAGCCTTTGGAGAGGTCCATTTTTTTCGCATATGGCCTTCAGCTGGTTGGGTGGCCTCTGGATGAGGCCCACCCACATCATGGAGGATAATCCGCTTTTCTCAGTCTACTGATTTAAATGTTCATCTTATCTAAAAAACACCTTCACAGCAGTATTGAGACTGTACTGTTTGGCCAAATGTCTGGGTACCATGGTCAAGCCAAATTGCCACATAAAATTCACCACCACAATGTTGGTCTTTGAACTGTTGCAGCGTAATATTATACATTATGCTGGAAATAAACAGTTTACCAAAGTTACAGTGAAAATGCATATTCTAGTTAACACTAAAATGCTGTATTCTTTTAGCCAAATCTTTCCACCTCTAGAGAACATCTGTGGGGCTAGCAATATATGTAGAAAGTTCTTAGATGGAGGGTCAGGGGGATCCTTAGGCTAATTTAGGGAGAGGAGTGAGTGATGCCTGAGAGGAGAATCCCATTTAAGGTGGTGTTTATTTAGTGGATTTTCGGGTATAATTTTCAGCCCCATGAAAGTTCCCATGAGGGAAGATTGTTTCATAGCCTTCCTTACTGATTTATAATGTTTTATTGCTGGCTGTGGAGATCAGTCTATTAAAAGTCTGTTTCATTATAGATACACAGTGACCATATGCAAAATAAGCAGTGATTGGAGAACTAAGCAATTTCATAAATAGAATGACCTGTAACCATGTTATTTCTCCAAAATGTAATAAAGAGACCATGGAGCTAAAATGGTTATAGCCTTTGATCTCTCAACTGCCATAAGAAGGACCACATACTATATTCATCTGCTGTCGGGGCTTGACTAGGAGGCACTTAGCTGGGTGTAACCTTATTGATGCACACCTCCTAACTGAAAGTGTGGCTCAAGGTCAGATCACGTGGAGAAAGAGTGAGATGTAGTGTGTTGCAGCCTGCAGCCCTGTACTCCTGTACCACCGTTGGAGGCCAAGTGTATGACACAGTGGAGGGAGACCTGGACAGGTCAGGACAGACTTCTCTGCCTTGGGAAAACCGTTTAAGCTGAAGCTTCATTTGCTTCCTCCCGCCTTTACAGGATGGTTTCTTTATGGTCCTAAAACCAAAGGTGAGTGTGGCTTGGTTCTGATGACTTCCTACCATGCTAAAAGTTCCGGCAGCTCTCTAAGACTTGTTCTTTCATGGATGTCCTTGGTATTTGATTGTTTTTCATCCCATCCTCCTCTCTCTGACAGTTGCACTTAGATGTATCAGAAGCTGCTGCTCTTTATCAAAGACTCCTTGAGGCCCCCCCCCTGTAGCTTTGAGAATCTCCTAGCCTCCAGCTTTATTCACACCACAGGTCCTCTTGCCTTGATGCCTCCATTCTTCCCTTCCATGCCTGAAGCTGGGCCCATGGTGGCTCTTCTGCATGTTGGTTATTTCACTTGTTTCGGTCCTTGTTCACACCCATTAGAGGGAAGGGCATGTGGGCATCCAGGGTGATGGTGAGCCAATCTTGCCTAAGATAGTAATGCATTTGATGGTTAAGGGGTTTGAATGTTAAAGTTGGACCAAGAATTGCTTCCGTATGGGTTTTCTCTAAAGTTTTAAGGTTTATACTCTTTTTACCTGCCGAGTCCCAGGATGTAGCCAAATCATTTTGCTGACATTCCTAAGCACTTTCTGCTCCTGAACCTGCATTGGAAGTGGAAGGCCAGCACATGTGGCCACAGGAGAGAGCTATTTTTGAGCGTCCTATTGTCAGGAGCTCAGGGTTTCTGTTATTGATCTGAGAGCTGCATTAGAAGCCCCAGCAGAGTCTTTGCTGTGCAGGGAAAGAGGAGACCCACTGATCAGATGCAGGGAAAGTTTTCATTGTATTTCTGATATGGGCCTTCTCTGGCAATTTCGGATGCTATAATAGAACACATTTGTTTAACAGCACTTGCCGACTGTGTGTTGTGCTCTTCCTGACTCATCAATAGTTGGTGAAATAATTGCTATTCAGTAGCCATGGCCCAGCACAGTGTGCTTTGAATCTGAGCCTCTGTGACAGCTGGGTGAAATAAAGGGTATGAGAAACCAAAGTTAATGACTCCAGTCTTAGGAGACTATGACTCAGTTGGCCTTGGACTCACCAATTCTTTCTTATGATTCACTGGGGACTGGATTTTCTTTCTTGATGTGGCTCACAGGGGGACCCTGCATTTCTTGATGTTGTATGTGGGTGGGTGGTGGTGGTGGCGGGGAGAACCCTGTCAAAGCTCAAGGGGATAAGTTACAGACCTTCATCCCCATCCTGAGAGTTCCTGCAGACTCCTTCTGAGTTGGAGAAAAGGAAGAGGAGATACGAGTATAAGAGGATTTGTTCACTGTCCATATCCCTGTTGAATTCACCAAGTCTAGACTTGGGAGTACATGGAGATTCACAGTGAAGAAGAATGTTAAAATAGTATGAAACATCAAACTCATGAATTCTGTCCTTTGCATAAGAACCTATAATTCCCCGTGAGAAAGGAGACTGACTTCCCCTGCTTGCTTCTTCTAATCCTCCCTCGCAGTCTGAGATCCAAAATGCCCTCACCCTCATTTTTACCTGCCCCAACTCCACCCTCAGCTCCTATGTTAAATCTTATCAGTGAACCTTTGTGAAGCGTCATCTATTTGATAGGCTCCTTACAGAATGAACACTGAGAAATGTAAGACCTTGCCCCCACGTATTAAGGAGCTCACGGTCTGGTTGGAGAGAGAAGACATAAGTTGACCTAGAAGCCTATAACTACAGGAAATGTAAATAGAAGCCATGCACGGGGTCATCTGAATTGAGCTTGGAGATGTGACTGTCACAGATGGCCCAAAAAAACTGTAGGGGTGTAAGCTGCATCTTGATGAATTGGCAGGAGACATTGAATGAGAAGAAGGCATCTAGGTGGGTGGCAAAGAGTGATCGTACCCATAGAAGTGGGGCATCAAAGGGCATGGCCACAAATCCGCAGTGACATACTGTTTCACATTCACTAGGATGTCTATAATTGAAAAGACATAAAAAAAAAAAGTGTTGGCAAGGATGTGGAAAACAAAAATCCTCATACACTGCTAGTGGGAATATAAAATGATGCAGCTGCTTTGTAAAATAGCCTGGCATGTCCTCAAAAGGTTAAAAATAGAGTTAACACATGACCCAGCAATTCCACTCTTAAATAGATACCCAAGAGAAATGAAGACATACTTGTACTCGTACGTTCAAGCGAAAACTTATACGCCATGTTCATAGCAGCATTATTCACAATAGCCAAAAGGTGAAAACAGCCTCAATATCTATCAGTTGTTGGATGGATAAATAAAACGTGGTAGATTCATACAATGGAATATTATTTGGCCACAAAAAGGAGCCAAGTGCTGATGCGTGCTATCGCATGGATGAACCTTGAACATGTTATGCTAACTGTAAGAAGCCAGACACAAAAGACCACATATTGTGTGATTTCATGTATATGAAATGTCCAGAATAAGCAAAGCTATAGAAACAGAAAGATTAGTATTTGCCTAGGGCTGGAGGTTTGTGGGGAGTTGGGGAGTGGTTGCTTATGGGTATGGTTTCTTTGTGGGGGTAGGGGGTGATGAAATGTCCCAAAATTGATTGTGGTGATGGATGCACAACTCTGCAAATGTACTAACACCCTTTGAATTGCATACTTTAGATGGGTGAATTTTGTGTTCTATGAATTACATTGCGAAAAAGCTGTTATAAACAAAAGGCACGGTCAGGGAACAGCCCCCAGGAGAGTTGAACCTACGCAGTGAGTGGAGTATGTAGGAGAGTCATGCATTGTACAGTAATAGACAGAGTGGACCAGACTGGAGCAGGCCTGTGAAGGCTGGGCTGAACTTTGGGAGAAAAGTGGGTTCTATTAACACAGGGTACAAAGATGGTCAAACGAATTTCGGAAACCCTGGATTGATCAAGTGAAACATCTTCCTTTAGGTCAGGGCTTCTCAGGGTGGTTCTGTTGACAAAGCAT